GAGGTAGTGGATGATCCGTTATGCCCTACCTACAAGTTCTCGAAAAGCCAGCATAAGGAGGGCTGTAAGCAATGGAGGAAAGCACTTATCATTAAACTTCTGGGAAGGAGGTTGGGTGCTAGATTTCTAATGACTAGATTGGTGAGAATGTGAAACCTAGTGGGTGTTTATGAAGTTATCGACATGGATAATGGCTACCTTGTTATCAGATTTCAGGAAGACAATGATTATAACCATGTGCTCCATGAAGGACTATGGATAGTTGCAGACCACTACTTGACAGTGCAGAGATGGAGGCCATTTTTTGACCCTTATGATGAGAAGGTAAAGAGGTTAGCTGTCTGGATCAGAATTCCTGGCTTGCCCCTGGAGTTCTACACTACCCAGAACCTTTGGAAAATTGGTAGTATCTTTGGAAGAACTCTGAAGATTGATAAGAATTCGCTGAGGAGGAATGAATTTGGTTATGGGGACATTACAGAGAGAGCCACATTTGCTCATATATGTGTGGAAGTGGACCTTAGGAAGAGCTTCCTGTCGAAATTCAAAATTGGTGGGAGAACCTTGCATGTGGGCTATGAGGGACTGCATATGATCTGCTTTGCTTGTGGCTTGTACGGCCACAGAAAGGACTTTTGTCCTACTTCTGAAAAGCATAAGCAGTGCTCTGGTGATTGAGGTGCTAATAAAGAGGCTCAGGAGGTTAAGGGAAAAGAGATAGTGGAAGAACAACAGAAGAGTGAGGATGCATTTGGAACCTGGATGGTAGTTCAAAAAACAGGAAGAGGGCGTAAATTGGAAGCATCCCCAGTTAAGCATGCTGCTAGCAATGCTAACCAAATGAAGCATGAAGATCAGCAGATCAATGTTACAGATAATGATGTTGTTGTTGAGTTGATGAACTCTGATAGTCCTATGGGGGAAGTAGCGCTTGAGGAAGCTACTGAATCTGTTGACAAGGAAAATGGGGTAATGAATAAGAAGGATGGAGGTGGGTTAAATGAGAGGAAAACTAGGGGACCTACCCCTAATACTCAGAATTCAGGCCCTGAGAAACAGAAAAAAATGAGGAATAAGAACAGGTCCATCTAAAGGAGTAGCAGTGAGTTCCAGTGGGATACAGAAAGGAAAGCCTAATACAAAAGGGGTTGTGAGTAGAGTCCAATCCTCATAGAATCAATATCCCAATTCTTTGAGTTTGGGAGCTCAGAAGTTGAATAATAGAAGCAAAGCTGCTGAAGGAGGAGTTCTTCAACCATCTCAGGATCGAAACTTTCTAGTTAGTGGGAGATTAAAAGGGGAGGAAGCTATGAATAATCTGAAAACTGGGACTCTTACTCAGAATGCTATGGAGATCGAATAGGTCAGTCCAGGCCTGGGAGGGGCTAAAATCCTTAATAATTCTTGATGATTCAATCCTTGGTGATTGAAGTTATCTGTTTTTACTTAGTTATGTTTATGAATAATAATATTTGTTCATGGAACTGTAGAGGAGTAGGGGAAAAAGAATTCCCTGCTCTGATTAGAGATATCAAATATAGATTTAAAATAAAAGTTATGGCTTTGCTGGAAACCAGAGTTCATGGTGACAAGGGAGAAACTATTAGTAGGAAGCTTGGATTTTCTAAATCCTTCAAGCAGGAGGCTGTTGGGTTTTCTGGAGGTATCTGGGTGTTGTGGGATGATAGAGATGTTGAGGTGGAGATTATTCAATCCCATCATCAGTATGTCCATACTAGAGTCCATTATTTAGAAGATAGTAGAGTGGAGTTAGTCACTTTTGTGTATGGGAGCCCGAGGAGATGTGAGAGAGTGATCCTTCAGGAGGAATTGGAGAATCTATCTGAATATGTGAATTCTCCATGGATAATTCTTGGGGACTTCAATTCTGTGTTGAGGCAATCTGAGAAGATTAGAGGCATGGAGGTTGTAAGAACCCGCACTGTTAATTAAGGAAATTAATTAATTAAATACGAGAATTAAGAAATAATTCAATAATTGACCATAATAATTATTATGAGGCTTAAATAAATATAGAAAGTGGTTAATAATGCTGAAAGTCGCTTTTCGAACGAAAAGCGCAGATACCGGTTCTGCTACTCGGTATAAATGCGTACCAAAAAAGTATCCCGGAAAATTATAATAAGTACATGATAATTCCTAGAATATTAAATAGGACTAGTAAAACAAGTTTCAAGTTAAAATAATGAGAACTGGTGCCAGAAACTGATACTGGCTATGAAAAGCGCGTACCGGAAAGATACTCCGAAAAATAAAATAAAAATATGATAATTCTTATAAAATTGAGTAGGTTCAGAATCCTGAGTTTGGGATAAAAATGCTAAGCGTAGCAATTAAAATTAATACTGTGTGTTTAATTCTTAAGTGGCTATATATAAGCTTGTTAGGACATTTTTTTTATAGAATAATGAGAATTGAACACATAAATTAATACAAACTACATAAATCTCTTACTACTAGACAAATCTGAGGGGCTAAGAGAGACATCTTTAAAATCATTGAAACTGTTATTTATAAAATAAAATCATGCAAATATTGTTAGGAAATATGAACCTTCATTTAATTTTATGCGTGTAATATTGTATGCAAAATCTACAAAGATCATGAAAAATCCATTCCTAGTAAAAAAAAATTATTCCTGCATCTGTTAATTATTATTTGTTATCAATAATTGGAGTTATAATATCAATTCATAATTCACCAGAGTTAAATCATATTCAATGTAACTTGCACTTATGTTAATTTGGATTGACGAGACTATGGAATCAGAGTAAAAAAAAAACTATAGATATAAGCATAGCTAACATTTTCAAAGAGAGTATTTTAATTACAATTTTAGTGGACCGATCAGACGATCAAAAGGGTTAAATCAAGCTTATGAATATTTTTAAATGGCGAATTTAACCGAACTATATAAACCACAATCAGTAAGGACAACTTAAATTTTTAGTCCCTCCATCTTTAGAAAGTGAGTTTAACACTATTTGCTGTATGTGCAAATCATGGATCGACCATTTTCTTTTTCAAAGAAATTTTAAGTGGGTTTGGTTTATTTTCTATTTTCTATTTTTTTCTATTTTTATTAATAATTATGTAAAGTAAAAAATATTTGTGTTACCAAAGTCAAATCCACCATAATCTATATTATCTCTCCATCTTTTAAATTTCTCATGTATATTATTTGTAAATGCCAGCTAAGAATTTAATAGAAAAATTGCCCTTTTTTTCTTCTGTTTCTGTGATCCATTCTTTATTCAATTAGTTGCATTTCATCAAAATGCATAACTTTTAATTCGATGTGTTTTCGTTTCCCCTGAATTTGACCATAATTTCTTCTTTGTTGGGAGATCCAAGTCTCATCTTTTTCGTTCGAGTCTCTCAGATCATTCTCTCACTCTTGAATACTTTTTGTTTATGAGATCAATACATAATTTTCAACTTGCAATAGCCACTTAAAGAAGAAAAGAGGAACAAAGATGCTTGACAAAAGCAATCAAGAAATGCAAATTTGGTGTGAACGGTGTCCCTCAAACTCCTCAATTAATCTCATTATATTACCTTTATCAAATTTCTTAAGCTCCTCAAACTCTTCGTTCAAAGTTACTAAGAAGGATGTTTCCTTTTAGCCAATCCTGTGTGCAGATAAGTGATTATACCAATTTTTTTTTTATGAAAAAAATGTGTATCATTTTAAAGGATGTAAAGTTGTGTTATTTTAAATGAGAGATAGAGATGAATCATGAGGGAGAGATAATGGACAAAAATAAATAAATAAATATGTGAATCACACTCCTATATGAGAGTAAAATGATATAAGTTAACACTTTTCTCTTTTCTATATAGTCGGTTTAATCTGGTTGAAGCATTATTTGACCCATGTGACAATCCTAACATCATTTTTGTCCTTGTCAGAATTTGAACTTTAATCTCTAATTTAAGAAGAAAAACTATTAACGGGAACAAACTCATTTCCACGTAAATCAATGGTTATTCGTGCCCTCCATCATTTTAGGTGTTAAAACTACTACTACAAGGATCGAGTTTGCAAAAATCAGAAATTGACTTGAATTTAGCTTCTGCCAAGGTCTCAAAAACTTCTTAGCATTTGACTTGCACCCAGTTGATTATACAAATTGATCACAACTACCGTGATTATCATTATCATCAAATGTGCTCGATGGGAATCACGTTGAGATCTCCCCTCACGGTCATTCAATTCCTCAAAAAGTGACTTGAAACAACATTCCAACTTTTTTATACATTTAGCTACGAAATGAAATTATCCGATTAATCGATCAAAATTAAATAAGTTACGTATCTCTTTTTATACCTATGATCATATTTTTATTTATTTTTTGGTATCAATCACATTTATTTCTCATCCTCTCAGTCATGACACTCATATTTACATCCCTAGATTCACACATTTGGTGAATCCTCTTCCCAATTCCGAATATATATACATAGCTTCGTAACATATCTTAACAAAAATGATCAAATTTAGTGAGCATAGTCCCAATCTTCATATATATAGGCACACTCCTTTTATTTTATTTAGCAGCATATTTCTTATCCTGCAACTCAAGCTCAACATATATTTTTTGATGTTTCAAAGCAGCCTCTAATATGAGATAGGTCGAATTCTACCTAATTTTAACATCTAAACATACAAAACCTTTATATTAAATCTTTTTTCTGTTCAACACAATTTCAACAATATCACATTAGTTGCATAAGAAATTATCAACATAATGGATATAACAATGGGCATAATTAACACACTAATATGGTTCTGGTCTAGGAATTCAATAATTGACTGTTGGAATAAAAAGGATAACAACCAAATGATGGTAGTTCAGTTGACACCAGGGAACTAAGTAGGTGGGGGTGAGAGCATGCGTTCAATCTTCTCCGGTACCGTATTTGAGAGCGTGCGTTCAATCTTCCAAAAATAAATAAATAAAATAACAGAAATGAAGATTTTTTTTGTTAAATAAGCAAAGAATACAAGAGCACTCTCTTGCCAAGGGACTAGCCCCTAAATTTGAGAAAAAATTACAGCCAAACACTCACAAAAGTCACAACTGTTGCCATAAGTCTCATAACCTCTCTTTTATTGTTGTGGAGATATATTCCTACGGGTAGACCTTCCATTAGAGCATCTTACATCTATTATGATATTAACAGGTCTAATTAATTGGAAGAATTTTGTTATTACAAACTTTAAATGGAACTGCAGAACAACATCCACCAGAAAGCTAAATGTTCATAAACTGGCAACAGGCATGTTATAAAAGGTAGCATGAGTAATATAGAGAAAATTTCCAGTTTTCTTCAGTTTAAACTCAAGTGCAACTACAGTTAAATTTCTTCCAGTCTTCACCACAGAGGCATTAGCTAGCACTTCTTCCTGCACAAACACATAGTGTAAAATTCATTTATTGAGTGACTATGAAACTATAACTATTAATTATGTGCTAGGGCTCCCATTCTACAAAATGCTTTTAGCCTGGTACTGCAGTAGTCAACAATAGACAGAATCAAAACAGAATACAAAAGAACTCACATTTATTGGAGTGGCAGAGAGGTAAGAAATGCTAATTTCCCCAAGAAAAAGCTCCTTGTCCTCAGCAACTACCGTTCTAGCACAAGCAGTAGAAAGGACCTCAACAAAGGACCCAACAGCCCCACCATGCAGTGTTCCAAAGCCATTCTGATATTCCAATAAAGAAAATGAAAAAAATTCAATGTACATTGTACAATCACATGACAGTTTTTTAAACAGAATTTTACTTTTGAACCAAGAAAAGTAGATTCAGTTCCTAACGAAGAAATTGGGAAAACTTTAATAATGAAACCAAAATTGCAGCTTTTCAATTGACTGAATAAGTTTGAACCAACCAAAAATTCTCAAACTTCCCAAATAATGGTTAATCAATATATAAACAACAGCAAAGATTCCTAATAATTATCTAGGAATTCATTAGTGATTTCTCATATTGCAAATTATGAGAAATTTCCATGGACCACATTGAACAAAACATTTTAAATATAAGTATGAATCAAGCGATAGTGGGGATTTCTTTCTATTAACAAAACTTGTTAAAACATAGGCATGACATCCCTTACCCAATTTCCTCAGCTAGAAAACAGAACATCAAGAACAATAAGATGACATAACAAAACAAAAAGGAAGAAGTAAGCAAAGCAAGAGAACAAAAAGGGGTTACACAGATAGTTGGTTTGGCAACAAAAGTGCAAGAGATTCGTTCCCTTTGGATATGATGGACCTTAATGAAACTCCTAAGGAAGAGAGAGTAGAAGCCATGCGTGTTGCACTTGTCAGGAACAGGGATGCCAGCCCCAACAACACTACTAACGAACAACAAAGTCTCAGAAGCATGTTGAGGGTGCAATTCCTTCGAAATTTTCAGTGATGGATACTTGGTGGCCATTGTTGACTTGTTGGATACTTGATTCCTCCGTCTCAACTCTCAAGACTTGGAATTAAATACTAAATTTATCAAAACTAGAATGATAAAAAATTATAATGTATTTACATCATGTTATAGAATATATAATCATAAGTTTATGTAAGTTTTTATTTTTTGTTAAGAAAATCTCATCACTAAGGTTAGGTTTAAGAAAAGTCCACAAGAGACCCCAAAAGAGAGCGGAAAAGTTGACGCACGAGATTTGAGCAGGTGAAGGTAGAGTACATGTTCAATCTTCTTCAATACCATATTTGGGAAGTGTTTAAAACCTTAATCCTAAACTCGTCCTGAATCAAATTAATAATAAAGAGATGAATTGATTAAAATATTTAAAAAAAAAAAAGCGGAGAAGAGAGAGAAGGGAAGAAAAGAAATGAGAACTGAGGTGAAATACATTGCAAAGTTTAACTTGAGTATTCTTATTATATATTTTATACAGCTTAAGTAGATGTTTACTAAGCTTTTCATCTTTACGAAAATTAATCAAAATATGATTTAAATTATATAATATGACAGTGTTACCACTGTCCAGTTTTCTACCACCAATATTTTACTCCCACAGCGGCCACTTCTTTTATTACAGATAGTTTCTTTTTTAATGTTGAAGGAAAAAGAAATTATTCCCCTATTGTGTCGTGTCTGGCTAAATTAATATGATTCATGTCAGCATTTTGTCAATTCAGTCAAGTCTAACTTAAGCAGCAAGTTAGTGAAACAATTAGCTAGCTATATTTTCTTTAGGGGTTTATTGTTTGTATTTTAATTGAAAATAAAGTTATTTCAGCAATTCCAAAATTATATTATTTTGAGGTAATTAATAAATGATATTTTGATAAAATTTATATAATAAAGAAACAAATAAAATTATTAAAATATCCTTCATTAATTCTCTTGATTCTCCCTAAACAACATAGTTTTGAGTTGCTGGAAATGATTTATCTTTTTCCCTTTCTTTAATAATTGAATATATATATATATATATTATTTCTTCAATCACAAGAGATAAAATTTATCTCCTACAATCCCAAAATTATGTCATTTTGAGGATTAAAAGAATTAATGAAGGATATTTTAATAATTTTATTTATTTCTTTGTTATATAAATTTTACTAAAACACCTTTCATTAATTCTCGTAAATCTCAAAAGGACGTATATATATTGGAAAGTCATAGGAGGGAGATAAAATTATCTCCTACAACCCTAAACAACATTATTTTGGAGTTTAGGATTAAAAATAAAAGATATTTAGAAATTTTATTTTCCTTTTGCATCACAAGTTTTACTAAAATTCCCTTTATTTTTAGGGGTTTGTATTTGTCATTTATCATGACACAACAAAGTTTTCTACACACACAATATTTTGTGGGGCTCACACTTTTTGAAGAAAAAAAAAACTACAGCACGCAAAACAAATCTGTATAACATTACACAATCACTTTTTCTATAACATAACTTTTATAAAACCATTATTTTTAATCTTAAACCTTCGTTTGGGATTATAAGAGATGATTTTATGATACAAGAAACGTTAATGCCATATTTTTTATTGGTGTTTTTTTTATACAATAGGTCCTATAACCTTACACAGGTTACTCAAATCCCTCACTACTAGAATAATCTATTCCATAGTATGTTTTTATAGATATTATCCTCAAAACATTACCATTTTTTGACAAATTTCTAACATCCAGAAAAATAAATTCAGTTGCAGAAAAAGAAAATGGGAAAACTATAACAGAACCCAAATTGCAGCCTTTTTCAATTGACTGAGTAAGTCACAACTAACCAAAAGCTTCAATATCCCCAAATTATGCTTAATCAAATATATAAACACTTTTCGATCTAGATAATAAAAAGTAAAAACAACTTCAATAATAATATATTAAAACATAGGCATGAATTCTCTTGATCAATTTTGTCTGCTACCAAACAGAACAAGGAGACACATAACCATAACACAACATAACAGGGTTTTTCACCCTTTTGCCCCTTATTAATTAATTAATAACCATTTTGCCCCTTATTCGAAACTATCTACCAATCTGTCCCTCTTTAATCGACTACCTTGCATTTTTAATCGACTAAACGGTTGTTGGGAGATTTAATCGACTAAATCTCTCTACTTAATCGATTAAAATCATGCTGACTTATTTTTTTTTTTTTTGTAAAATATGAAAATTTAGTCAACTAAATAGGGAGATTTAGTCGACTAAATCTCCCAGCAGCCATTTTTTGTCTGTTTTGGCCATTTAGTCGATTAAAAATGCAAGGTAGTCGACTAAAGAGGGGCAGATTGATAAATAGTTTCGAATCAAGGGCAAAATGATTATTAAGTAATTAATAAGAGGTAAAAGGGTGAAAAAGCCCAACATAACATCATTAACATGACAAAAAAAAAAAAAAAACAAGAGGAATAAGCAAGCAAGCAAGAGAATAAAAGAGGGTTACACAGATAGGGGCTTTGGCGACAACAGTGCAAGCTAATCGTCCCCGCTGTATATGATCTACTTTGATGAAACTCCGAAGGAAGCCATTGTAGAAGCCATGCGTATTAGTATTCTCTGGATCTATAATGTTGGCCCCCATAACTCTAAAGAAATCCAAGGTCTCAGAAGCACGTCGAAAGTTAATCTCCTTCGAAATTTTCAGTGATGGCGAGGAACACACAGTTTCAGGCTCAGCAGCAGAGGAAGTTTTCGAAGCCATTTTTGAGAGAGACTCTCTCTTACACGATTGCAAATTTGCAATCCAACCTTGTTATGAATAAATAGAAAGAAGTGCAACAAAACAAATAATCATTCCATGCTTTATCATGACACACCACTTTATAGTTTATAGCTGCTCCTTACTAGTGCGCCATTAGGTGGAGTCATTATTCAAAGAGTAAAGTAGAGACGTAGACGACTCAAATTTTTAATATTTGTTTAGCTGACCAATTTTCTTAACCCTTCATGTACAATGTAAATAAATATTTAAGAAATTTTGTGTTATTCTACTCGTAAATATTACAAAATCTTTAATATTATATATTGATCATCAAATATCTAACAACCCACAATTGTTATATAATTCAACCACGCACTTGTGTTGAAATATTTGATCGTGTCCTTCAATATGGATCAAAAGCAACCTGAGTGTTCTTTTTTTTACATTATTAGATTTGAGATTATTGTAGATGTTTTTTTTTTTTAAATGCCATTAGTGTATTGGTCGTGGATATAATATAATGGATTTCTATTTGACTAATTATTTTTAAAAAAAATTGTCTCTATCATTTTATTTTTTTTGTTTTTTAAAGATATCCTCTCACCAATAGCATTTTTCATGTATATGACCAGAGATCGAATTTCTAACAGCATATTTAAAAAATACAACTATTTATCAAGTGTGTTAGGCTTTATTAGTGGTCTCTATCATTTCAATAAGTGCATTCTGTAGACTATCTTGATCAAGAACCAAAATTAGTTTGAGAGCGTTTTCACAAAATGAAGTTCACACATAATAAAATAATAACTGTTTAGTCTCAACTCTTACAGTTATGGGCGAATAATTCAATTTTTTACTCTCTATCTCTATTACTCTTAATCACAGAACTAATATTCCAATCATCTAATGTACGCTATAGATTTCATCACTTTTAATAAAATCGGACCAATCCGGCTGAGTCGACCTGAAAATCAATAAACCGGTTATATAATCAGTTCGGTTGAAGAAAAAGACCGATCATGCAACAGAACCGATGCGACCGGTCCGATCCGACCAATTTTCATGAAAATCGGTGATCCGACCCGGTCCTAAAAAAAATTCAAATTTTTATTTTAAAAAAAAAATTCATAATGGTCATATTTGAATATCTTTTTGCTTATTGACTTACATAAGTTATGTATCTACAACACTTATATTATCTCAATTATGTACTATGCAAAAAAAATTAATTTGTGAACCTAAAGCCCTAGATCACGATCGTTATATTTTTGTTTGATCCTTTATTAGATAATAATATGTGATTTATTATTTTTTATATTAAAATATTTGAAATTTTTATCATTTTTTTTTAGATATTTGAGTATGTTTATAATTGTTTAATATAAATTATAAAATTACATTTAATCATCGGATTATACGATTGAATCAGTGATCCATTGATTGAACCAGTAACTCACTCCAGTACCTCAACCGACTCAATGATTACACCAATTTTAATAACATTAATTTTCATAGTTGGCTTTCGGACGAGAAATATCCTCGGAACAATTTAAAAAAAAAAATACTAATCAGATTGTCCTATCTACTATTTATGTTTGCACAGTCAACTCAACTCAATCAATCATGAAGAAAATAATTTAAGATAGGCTAGAAAAATCTTAAATTCGCAAAAACCCACTAATTATTTGGGAAAAGAAAACAAAATAAAGAAACTTAAAAAGAAAGAGAGTTGAAAATAGTTCCCACTTAACGAGTGTAACTAGTAATAACAATGAAAATGCATGCCTTCTCTCTCCTATCTCTCCAACCTTCTTCTCCAAAAATAATTCCATGGTCTCTTTTTCTCTCTTCCTTTTTCTTTTCTCTCTCTTCTCTTCTTTCCTTTCTTTCTATCCGGCTCACGTGAGCCGAGATCGCTGAATAATTGCTCCTTCTTCTCTGTTTCCTCTACCACAAATAAATCTTACCTAGTACGCAAGCATCGAATTTGGTGCTCCTCTTTTTCTAAATGAAAAAAAATTATTATCTCATTTAAATCAAATCTTCATTTTTATTTTTATTTTCCTTCAAATCTAAATTTTTTACCCTTTAAGAAGGGATGTATGTACAGATGTAGCACCAAAAATTGGTTCCTCTCCCACGCCCTTTTTTTTCAGAACTTCTAAAATAACCGCTACAAAATCCATATTTAACATTTTGTTATAGACGTTCAATATCTTATTAAAGGACCCATTTTTAAAAAAAGCTTAAGACTATCCCTTTTATTTTTTATTTTTTTTATACATGCCTGTACTTTTATTTAAGTAAACACTGGTGATTACTTCACCAAATAAATAAAGGGTTTTATGTAAGGGAGAAAGTGGACTGGGCTGGGTCAAGCTTTGTTTCGAAAAGCCCAAGCCTACGCCAAAAAATTTCAATTTGGCCTAGCCCAAGCTTAGTATGAGTCTAATTGTTAGCCTGACTTGTCCCGTTTATAAAAAAACAAATGGCCTGACTTGGTCTGTTAGCCTGTTAATTTTTAACTTCCAAGCATAACCATGAATCAACTTTACGAAGTACTCAAATTCTGTTGCTACACCAAAAATCATAATTTCAACGTCCAATCAGAATCATGAATCATAACAAAACTCATATAATATGCATTTAAGCCATTTTCAAAAGCAAAATGCTCAAACTAAATAACATATATTTTATCAGATCCAACAAACAAATCCATATACTATGTAAATTAAAATAACTACGTGAATCCAACAAACACATCATGATGCTTGTACTAAGTATAACCTTTCCCAAAAATCTTTTAATATATTCATATACACAATCTAACATGTTGAGAAGTTGGTTCCTCCTATATAAGAAATAAAGTAAGATTTCTATTAAAATATAATCGAATATAATTAAGTTATAAATAATTGTAATTGATTAAATTTATATCTTTTATTTTTCCTTCAAGGCATACTTACTCTATTTTATTTTAGAGTAAATATCTTCTTTGGTCCCTAACAAAAAACACGGTCCTCACTTTAGTCCCTTACAAAAATAAATTAGTCAGTTAGTCTCTAACAAATTCAAAGTGAACCCATTTTAGTCCTTTTGAGGGACTATTATGAGTCTTTTTTGAATTTGTGAGGGACCACGATTTCAATTAAATGGGTCCACTTTGAATTTGTTAGGGACTAACTGACTAATTTATTTTTGTAAGGGTCTAAAGTGGGGACCGTGTTTTTTGTTAGGGACCAAAAATGGTATTTACTCTTTATTTTATTTAAAATAAATAGTATAATATAGGTCGTCCTGCAGGCTTATAGGCCCGGCCTTTTAAAAGTGGGCATACGGCCTTTTTATTAAAAAGGCTTTTTTAAGGCCCAAGTCCGCCTTATTATACAAAATATACTAGGTCAGGTCTAGCCTGATGTAGGTCAAATCGTAGGCCCCTGTAGGCCGGCCCGGCCCAGTTTCACCCCTAGTTTTATGTTTATCATGTAACATAACACAACTTCACTTTCTTACACACATTAAAGAGGTGAGGTCCACGTGTTTTTCTTTCTTTTTCGTCATTCCATTTTCTCTCTCCCTTTTTTTATTGTGTGTGTTGGAAACAAAACTTAAGTCATGTAACATAACATTAATAAAATCCATAAATAAATAAATAAAAGACTGGTAATTGGTTTTATATATAACCACTAATCGACCAAACATTATATAAAATAAAAGTATCTTCTTCCCAACTCCTGAGCGACCATACAGGACAGGACATCCAGAGCAACATTCAGGAAAAAAAATGAAGCATTGGGAATTTCTGATAATTGTCTTGCAAATTATCATAAATTTCGATGGACCACATTTATCAAAACAAGAAAACATCTTTAATATAAGTATGAAACTCCCTCCCCTTGCCAGTTTTCTCAGCCGCCAAACAGAACATCAAGAATTGTAGTAGAACTAATAATGATAAATCAAAACATAGGCATAAATTAAAAATTGAAGAATTTTGTTATGACAAGCACTGAATAGAACTGCAGAATTACGTCGGCCATAAAGCTAAATGTTCATAAACTGGCAACTGGCATGTTATAGAAGGTAGCATGAGTAATATATAGCAAATTCCCAGTTTTCTTCAGTTTGAACTCAAGTGCTACGACAGTCAAATTTCTTCCAGTCTTCACAACGGAAGCATTAGCTAGCACTTCTTCCTGCATAAACATGTAGTGCAAAATCCATTTAATAAAAGGGTTTAAGCCATGAAGAGGGTATATGAACATCAAAATGGCACATTCTAAAGACTAATAGATAGGGATGAGAATCGGAGCCATCAAATAAAGTATAACATTTCCTCAGTCAGCACAACAAACCATTCTAAGGGCCGGGGTTGAACTCCATGCAATTTGTCTTAACACATGCTAATTTGAAGAAAAAGCAAAATAGTATTGTATTGCAATAGACAAAAAATGGAAAGAATTAAAACAGAATACAAAAGAACTCACATTCATTGGAGTACCAGAGAGGTAAGAAATACTAACTCCCCCAAGAAAAAGTTCCTTGTCCTCAGCAACTACAGTTCTAGCACAAGCAGTAGACAGAATCTCAACCAAGGACCCAATAAACCCTCCATGCAGTGTTCCAAAGGCATTCTGCAATTCCAATAAAGAAAATGAAAAACAAAAGTCCACATACAACCACATGACGTTTTTTAGGCAAATTTTTAAATTCAAACCCAGAAAAACAAATTCAGTTGTTAACAAAGAAAATAGGAAAACTTTCACAGAACCCCAAATTACACACCCTTTCAATTGACTGAATAAGTCTCAACCAACCAAAAACTTCAATACTCCCCAAATAATGCTTAATCAATACAAACAATTTTCCATCCTGATAATAAAAACAACTTCAATAATAATATATTAAAATATAAGTGTTAGAGAAATATAAAACTATTAATATAGTCTCACCCAACGGCTTAAGTTTTTGAGTTGAATTGATTCATTACAATAGGCATGAATTCCCTTAATCAATTTTGTCAGCTACCAAACAGAACATAAGTTACATAACACAACATAACGTGACAAAACTAAACTAATAAAAGGGTTTACACAGATTTGGGCTTTGGCTACAACAGTGCAAGCTATTCTTCCCCGTTGGATATGATCTACTTTGATGAAACTCCGAAGGAAGCCATTGTAGAAGCCATGCTTATTGGTAGTCTCTGGAGCGATAAAGTTGGCCCCCACAGCTCTTAAGAAATTCATGGTCTCAGAAATACGTCGAATGTTCATTTCCTTTGAAACTTTCAGTGATGGCGAGGAACACACAGTTTCAGACACATTAGCAGCAGAGGAAGTTTTTGCCGCCATTCTTGACCTTCTCTCGCTGGACAGGATTGAAATCCAACGTTGTGTTGTAATGAAAATGCAACAAAAACAATATTATTATATGCTTTTCACGACACCCTCCATTGTTCAAAAAGAAGACTACTCAAATATTTAAATATCAGTTTATTTGACCAATAATCTTAACCCTTCATCTACAATACTGGTTGTATTATGAGAAATTGTGTTTTTCTTTTCTTAAATGTTAATTTATTATTTTTAAGATTTTACATTGATCATCAAAAGTCAAACTAACAACACAAAATTGTTATATAATTCAATCACTTGTTTTTAGCTCTGTCCTTCAATGTAGATCAAAAGCAATTTTTTATTTTTTATTTTACATTATTAGATTTAAAGGAGGCGAAACGAAACATTGATAAAACTGTTTCTTCATACTTATGGGTTCGAATATAGGAAACAGCCTATTTGCAATTATGCAAAGGTAAGATTGCGTAAAAAGATTTTCTCCATCCCATAAGCCTCTTTATAATTATGCAAGGAAAAAGTTGCGTAAAAGAATTTCTTTCACTCCACACTCGCTAGTCGGGTTTAAGGGAGAATTATAATACTATTGATTTAGGTAGCTTACACATTACGCCACCCAAGTTGTCCTCCTTACTCCTCCAAAATCTTCTCGGCATGCTGTTAGGTGCATTTAATCACACGTGTTTTGTCTGCATTAGCTAACATTATGAAGTCAACCCTTATCACATGCATTGTTGCTGCCCATTCCATGTATAATACTGACCTTAATAAGTCCAATGAAGCCATTGGTTTCTTAAAAGAAAGGAAGCTGTATTAAACCTAGATCAGACCGGCCGGTTTGACCGGTTCAATCAAGAATCGAACTCCAGTTGAATAACTCGATCAGTTGTGCAGTTGAACTGATACGAACCGGTTGATCCATCCAAAAACCAGGTTCAAATCGGTACGAGTTTATTAAATTTTATGCAAAATATTGACAGAGTTGCAAGCTTGACTTGAATCACTTGATGTTTACGGGTTTACCACTGAGCTAAACACTATATTTTCATTATAATTCTGTTATTATTATACTTATTATATAAACTTATATAAATTTAGTTTGACCGGTTCCATCGTTGACTCGTGAGTTCAACCAGTGACTCATTGATTTACTATCTTCACTGAGTCAATGAATAACTGGAATTTAATAACATGTACTTGCTTTATAAAGTGAAATTAGGAGAGGAATGACATTATATAAGACCAATGTATGTAGCCTTGGCCTTCTCTCTGTGTTTCATTGAATATTAATCCATTTTGACATTGCTCATGTGCAGAGATTATTTATAAAGAAAAAATAATTCTTTTATATTGACATATTCAAAAGGCTTTAAGTCACATTTCAAAAATAATAGAGTAAATATCTTTTTTGGTTCTCAGCAAATTTCACGATGCCCGCTTTAGTCCCTAACAAATAAAAAGGCTCATCGTGGTCCCTAAGAAATTCAAAATGGACCTATTTAGTTGAAATCGTGGTCCCTCACAAATTCAAAAAAGACTCATGTTAGTCCCTCAAAAGGACTAAAATGGATTCATTTTGAATTTCTTAGATATCACGATGGGTCTTTTTATTTGCTAGGAACTAAAGCGAGGATCGTGAAATTTGCTAAGGACCAAAAATAGTATTTACTCAAAATAATAATCATAATAATAAAATTTGTGACCGTGTCACACACAAAATAACATACGCTTTTATCAAAAGGCTATAGAAAAAAGTTACTTTTTAGTTTTTTCTGTATAATTTTGAAAATAATTTCAAAAATTGTTTAAACGAAAACCTTAAAATGAAAACACAATTCTTCTTTCTGAATGCTATTTCTCGTCCTTTTTTTCTTTCTTTTTTTGGTATCCTATTTCTCGTCCTTTTACTCCAACGGCATAAACATGAAATTCATTTACTTTATTTTTTAAGTGAGAAATTCAATAATAAAACATATCAAAACGTACCAAAGAATGTTCATGTCCAAGTAAAAGATCAAAAATCAAAATTTTCATCTAGCATTTTCTATTTCATGTTTTACTACATACATTGGGTTATAGTATGGTCTAGAGAAAATTGCAATGAATAGGATTTTAGAATCCTTCAATAGTCTATGGTACTTAGGGGAATATATCATCAATGGACTAAACAAGACAAATGACACCAAGTGAATCTGACATTGTGTTACAATTCAAAATCTTAAGGCATTGAGCTTTTGAACTTTTGGAGTCGTTTTCATTTTTTTCTATTTATATTTTAACATGGATAATTTCGTAATTTGTGTTATTTTCTTTTTCATTACCTATTTAAGGGTATTGTGAATCTTAGTTTATTTGGTAATTTTTTATTGAATAAAGATAATTTGTCGATTCTATTATAACTCGTTCCGAACCATTTATATAAATCATATATTGATTTTGAACCATGAATCAGTTTGAGAAAAATAAAATCAGTTTAGATAAAATAAAATAGTTCAATTTTCGGAACAAAAAATGGTTTAAACTTCTTTGATTCTTTTCGATTGGACCATGTCTACTCTTAGTGTCACATGGCAAACTCTCATGAGTTGCATTCAAATTCATGCATAAGCATCAATTTGGATGGGCAACTCAAGAAAGTTTTGTGATAAAGTTACACCTAAATTAATGTGCAACCAGTTGCATTAATTAAATGAAATATTTAAAAACGACATTAATTTTGTAATTTATTATTCAAATTACAATTTTAAAATTTTTGTTTCCATCTTTCCTTCTCAAAAGACCTATTAGGGAACCAAAACGTATGATGAAGTGGGAACCTCCGCCACATGGTTGTGTCAAATTAAATATAGATGGTTCAAGGGCTAGTAATGGGGGTAGTTCATCTTGTGGAGGAGTTATAAGTAACAGTGTTGGAACATGGCAGATAGGCTTCACTAAAACATTGGGGTATGGAAATATTCTTAGAGCTGAAATTTGGGGTGCTTATGTGGGACTCCAGTTGGCTTGGGAGCAAGGTTATAAAAATGTTTATCTTGAAGGAGACACTACAGATGCATTGCAACTCTTTCAGAATTGTGAAGAAGGGCATCCGTTGTTACATTTAGTCCAGAAGATTAGGAAGCTTCTTAGTAGGCCTTGGGTGGTTAGAGTTCAGCATGATCTGAGAGAAGAAAATCAAGTAGCTAATTGGCTTGCAAAACAGAAAATTGCTTGCTCATGCGACGGATATGCAGATTTTTCTTAACCCTCCTTTGGGATGTAATAGCCTGATCCATACTGATGAGAGGAGAATAACAGTTCCCAGACCTGGTTAATTTGGTGTTTTGTTTTTAATTTCTGATGTATTTCTAAAAAAAAAAAAAGGAAGAGCGTGAAACTAGCGTTTTCAAAGACGTTGGTCACGTGCCTCACTTTCATCCCCAACAATATACTATTAGTTTACCAACATCATCATTAACTCACCATTTGGTGAAATACATACATGCTCAACAAAATGGAAAAAGGAAAATTTATTAATGTCCTATTAATTCACCATTAATCCATCAATAACCATAAATAATAATTCTTAATTTCTAATAACTTTTATTTTTTTTTGTTGGTTTAATAAATTTTTTTTTCACACTTAGCTAATCGGGAAACCCGTCAAAGTAAATTTTGAAACGTTGATGCATTGATGATTAATCAAATGTGACGTTTGTGAATTACTGAATTAAGTGTGAATTAATTAGGGAAGGTAAGCGTAACTTCCGTGGAACGAATATCATATACAAGACACTAAACAGAGACAGCGCATTAGATCAAAATGGTAGTAGCTCAGTTAACACATGAAATGAAAATAGATGAAATAATAGCATATGTTCGAGTTCGATTCTTCTTCGGTACCACCTTTTGGAAGAATTTAAAGTTTTAATCAGAATTTAAAGTCTTAATCCTGAACAACGTATTAGTATATTGTCTTTTTTTATGTTTTTTGGAAAATTCTTTTTTAACATAGAATCTGAGTATCTTAGGCAACATTAAAATATAAAAAGTTGGATCCAGGCAAATCCAGCTCCAATTGGTAGTGTGTACTGGTACAGGCACTTTCTGGTACAGTTACTTCTACGACCTTTTACTTCAACTTTATAAAAACAGCATAGACTATTACAGAGAAGTAAGTGTCCTGAGTCAAATATTCTTGTCCATATAGAGTTTGTGAAGTGTGTGTCCAAACTCCAATTCCAAAACCAACGATGCCTCGTGGGACGCTTGAAGTTATTTTGGTCAGCGCCAAAGGCCTTGAGGACAATAATTTTCTCTGTAACTACTATGTACTATGCTTAACTGATTGCAAAATCAGATATTGTAATGTCAATAATTTCCTCTTTTTCATTGAAATCTCTGCATGAAACTGTGGATCAGAAAGTTTGATTTTCAATTTTTTGATACATCAAAATTCTCTCACTTTATTGTTTGATCTAGATATTTGTTGTTTTAAATCTCTGTTAATTAACTCTCTTTTGCAGATTAAATTAGAGAAAGTTCAGCTTAAGCTGTCTGATCTAGATATTTTTGTTGTTCATGAAGCTTTGTTAATTGAGTCAATCTTATTTGCAAATTAAACTTAGAGATTAATTCAGTTGACTTTTTTTTTAATCTGATTAATGGGTATTAATATCCCAAAGGCATTGCAATTAACTGGTTATAATCATAAAATGTTGAGTCACCAATCTTGGAAGTTTCTCCATAGGTCAAGATTACTGGTTAAGCTGGAACAACTCTTTACTAGTTGAGTCACCAATTTAACTATTATAATTTGTCAACATCATCCTATAAAGGCTCGATTTTGTTCTTAATGTGTAGCTAGCATAGATCCTTATGTGATTCTAACTTACCGAACACAGGAGCACAAGAGCACTGTGCAAGAAGGTGCATTTCTTGCCAACTTAATTATATATTTGCATATTTTACCATTTTCTCTCTTGGTGGCTTGATTGATTACTGTATTGTGAATACTG